ACAATTTTTGTGAAAAAGCATTGGGTTTTTGATGTTTTTATGTTGAAATGCTTGCAAACACACGGTGTTCGGTAGGATTCTGACATGAACGCGCGCGTGTGCTCTTTGTGGTATTTTTTGCAATGGATTATCGCCGTGGACGACAGGACGTCCATGTCGAGAGGAAAAAATAAGAAAAATGTTGATTTTGTATTGTTTTTTACAGGTTAGGATGGGACCACCCGGATGCGGCCCCTAATGGCCGGCCTGAGGGGGGAGTAGGAGTATATTCTCTAATAAGGGGTAGGAGTAGGAGTAGGAGTAGTAGGAGTAGTAGTAGTAGTAGTAGTAGTAGTAGTAGTAGTAGTAGTAGTAGTAGTAGTAGTAGTAGTAGTAGTAGTAGTAGTAGTAGTAGTAGTAGTAGTAGTAGTAGTAGTAGTAGTAGTAGTAGTAGTAGTAGTAGTAGTAGTAGTAGTAGTAGTAGTAGTAGTAGTAGTAGTAGTAGTAGTAGTAGTAGTAGTAGTAGTAGTAGTAGTAGTAGTAGTAGTAGTAGTAGTAGTAGTAGTAGTAGTAGTAGTAGTAGTAGTAGTAGTAGTAGTAGTAGTAGTAGTAGTCGTCGTAGTCGTAGTAGTAGTAGTAGTAGTAGTAGTAGTAGTAGTCGTAGTAGTAGTAGTAGTAGTAGTAGTAGTAGTAGTAGTAGTAGTAGTAGTAGTAGTGCGTAGTAGTAGTAGTTGTAGTAGTAGTAGTAGTAGTAGTAGTAGTAGTAGTAGTCGTAGTAGTAGTATAGTAGTAGTAGTAGTATAGTAGTAGGTAGTAGTGTAGTAGTGGTATAGTAGTAGTAGTAGTAGTCGTCGTCGTCGTCGTCGTCCGTCGTCGTCGTCGTCGTCGTCGTCGTCGTCGTCGTCGTCGTCGTCGTCGTCGTCGTCGTCGTCGTAGTAGTAGTAGTCGTAGTAGTAGTAGTAGTAGTAGTAGTAGTAGTAGTAGTGGTGACAGTAGTAGCACTAGTAGTCGTAGTCGTAGTAGTAGTAGTAGTAGTAGTAGTAGTAGTAGTAGTAGTAGTAGTAGTAGTCGTAGTCGTAGTCGTAGTCGTAGTCGTAGTCGTAGTCGTAGTAATAGCCGTAAAAGTATTACCGTTATTGCCATTCATTTTACGACTACTACGACTACTATGTCTAGTTTTCGCATTTGTATATGTTCACGCTGACTATTTCTGCTACGACTACTCCTACCACTAGTCCGACTACGGCTACTAGTATTACTGTTCTTATTCTGTCCACTACTACCAGGGTGGCGCCCCCTGCGGCGCGTGTCGACGACGCTATCCCTCAGACCCACACGAGATGTCAAACCTGGCGCCGACGATTGCTGCGACGTCGGCATTGGGCAAGATAGTTTCTACGCCGACGGGCTGCCGTGAGGGCGCTTACTTCACGCCACGGACCCGAGTTGATGGGAGGCAGGGGTGATCAGAATCGTTCAGCGTCCAATCGCCAGGGTGGTGGGCTCCAGCGTGACCCACGGTGGACGTGCGCTGTGACGAGGCAGTGCGGCTTTACGCAGAATTAGTTTTCTAACTCACGCTGCCATCAATGTGGGAGGAACAGGAGCGGCAAGCCAGACCCCAACTTTGTTGCCCGCCCAAAGCGAACCAAGTCTCCAGATCGAGGTCAAGCCGCAGATCGTGATCAACAAGACTTGCCGCAACAATCAGGAGTTGAATCCGCGGCATCGTCTGTGGCAGCTGACGATGTCACCCGTGCGCGCCGTGCTCTTGCCGCTCTTCGCAAGCCGGGCCTTGACGAGGGCTCAGCGGTGGTGGCCCAGCCGCGGACCGACTTGGCAGGAGCAGAGAGTCGAGAACGCAACCTACGCTCTCCCGATGACGTATTACGCCGCAGATTGGACCGACATACGGCACAGAGCCGCGAAGTGCTGGGGCTGCCCGAGGTCGCCGCGAACTTCGAGAAGCAGTTGTCGGGGAATCCAGCAACCCTTACGAGCGCGCGGACAGAGCTGGACAAGATCAATACGGAGGTCCACATCGCGCGAGGAGCCGTCTCGTCGTCTACCGCATCTCCAGCGTCACAGGGCGTGAAAGCGTTATCAGGCTCGAAACGGTCCTCAACATCGCCCCAGCGGCTTGCGCGGCGGGAAACCCGACCGCCATGCTCCAGTCGCTCACCACCCAGTTCCAGCAGCTGCGCGGCCCTCTTTTCAGGATTCGTTTAAAGGCCACTTATTGTACTGCCACCAGCAGCTCCTCCAGCACCAGGAGTCGCTGCACCGCCGCCTGGACCTCGCGGTTCACACCCTCAAGCGGCGGCTTGGGGCTTCTTCCATTGGCCGCCCGCTCCGATGGAAGGAGATGGCCAGGGCGGTTCGTATCATCAGCTATTTTCCCATGTCTGCTGCGCGCCCTCGGCGCGCTGGCAGGCGTTCCCAACGTCGCTCTCTTCGGATGCTGACATGCAGCGCCTCGGGCTGGCGTAGAATGCGCGACATCTTGGAGGGGGGGGGGGGG